TAAATCTGAGCTAGCGTAGGTGACTGTGCGGCCATTTAATAACAAAACCCATCTTGAATTCCTTCACGACTTGTCTGGCCTTGGCCTTGCCCCTGTATCGACCAATCTAACTTCATAAAATCTGGTTTGACCTTGGTCCAAGTCTTTTTGCTCGCTTCTACAACCTTGTACAATTTATTCAGCTACACTTTTCTTTTTCCAATAATATTCGTATCCCTACGGAGGCGGTCTTCCACTCTCTGTATTTCTCACAGAATCTATTTCCCGGTGTGGTGATGAAATGGGTTGGAGTGTGGCTGATACCATCTTTTCTCCAAGCGCTCACAGGAGGAGAGGCTCCGTGTTCCGACTTTCAGTTAAAGCTTTGTCATTTTCTTCGATCCATCAGTGTTTTTAACGGTTTGTCATGTCGTATGATACTGCCTACAGATCAGCGTGGCCTGAACGCTGCGTTGAATCAAAGGAAACAGTGCCGACTCGCTGACCGTGTGATGTTATTGCCTGTAATAGTGTGCGCTTTATCTGCCAGAAATCGGAGAGCGTGTGTCATTTCTCCACCAAACTGCAATGAGAAACACATCCTAATGGATTCTCCCTGCTGCAAATGATGACATCATGCAATTATAGATAGTACAAAAGTTCTTCAATATCTTCACAATTAGCCCAAGAAAAGGAACATTGCTCTGTTAAGTTTAAAATTATCATAAGGAGCAAAGAAAAAATATCTTACTGACTTTTTTGTGCAAATTGCTACACTAACATAAATAACTACTGCACAGCGTGGATAGAACTCTCGCTTCTCAGCAAGTCGGTCCTGGGTTCAAATCCTGGTCGGAACAGGACCTTTCGGAGTGGAGTTTACATGTTCTCCCTGTGTCTGCGTAGGTTTCCTCCAGGTGCTCCGATTTCCACTACCACTAAAAACATTTACAATAGGTCTGGTATGTGACTCCTGTTCGGCGAACTTGCTCCCATCTCTGTGTGGAGTGAATAGACAAATGCCCACAATTGTAAAGTGCTTTTTGACTCTGGTCTGTGAAAGGCACTTAAATAAATAAAGATTACTTACTTACTTACTAAATATATTATAATATATAGTAAGAATTGGATGTTGACCTCAAAGTGAAGTCTTTTGGTCACATTATCAAGGCAGACAAGGCAAGTCCACAAAATTGCAATTCTGCCACCTGTACCTTTCACTTTTACACTTGTCTGCAATACCAGTCAGGCTTCAGCCAAGAATGAAATTGACAGATTGACGGAAACGTTTTCTTAATTACTTGAACTGTCACAGCAAAGGAAAACTGCTGGTCTAACACAACAACAGTTCACAATATGGTCTCCTCTAAGATCAAAGAATATTCAAAGAGTTCTTACAGTAAAACCAAGGCCGTTATATGAGCATTGTCAGAGTGGTTATCAGCAAGGCCTCACTAACAAGGTGGCACTTACTCTTAACAGGTTTGGGTCATATGCAATTATCATTCATTTTCTTCCGCTTTATCCGTTGCCGAAGAAAATGAATGATAATTGCATATGACCCAAACCTGTTATGCAATTATCAACAAAGTCTAAATGACCTTAAACTACTTTCGGTCCGAGGTCTTCCAAGTTGCTGCTGTTTGTTATTGTGTGCCCCTATGTGAAAGCACCATGAGAATTAGAGGTACCATAAATTCAGAAAAGCGTGTTTGGCTTAGTTTGAAATGGAAAATTGAGTCTTTGAAAGATTTCCACTACCAACAAACTGCAACATGATTGGAAAAGTGCAAATACATGAGCAGAAGGGAGCATTGACAAACATTATGTGCACCGTGTGAAGTGGTTGACAGACTTTTATTTGATCTTCATTTGAGCATGACTTTAGTGGATTATCTGCCACGCTGCTGCTCCAATTGCTCATATTTTACAGAAACAACAAATCAATCAACTCATCTGCGCTGAACTGATGAATATCACAGTCAAATGCATCTACTATGTCGGCAGAAGAGGTACTGCGAATCCACACGGAGAGAAAAATGACAAATACGGCAGGCACTCCATCACAGTCGCTGGGTCAAATTATGAATTCAGTTATTTTAGAACTGGTGCAGTAAGATAAACTGAAAGCCCCAAACGGATCAATTTGTAACTAGTCAGCAAAAATCAGTATCATCTTATAAACCACTTCTTAAAACACACTTTTATTGAGCGGCCTTCCTTTAACAATTTGTGTAAACCTCACATGTTAGCCTAACAATAACCCATTTTACCTATGTCGGCTTTATTTTCTATTTTATGTTATAATGACTTTCAATTCAATTTATTCAATTACATTTTAATCGTTGAATTTGCCAACATATCAGAGAATAAAACAGTTCAAACACAAGAAATGCAATGATAAAAAACACATTGAGCCATTGGTCCATAAGGGGCAGATGACCAATGTCCTTAAAATGTTGATAAATGTGATTGAGCACTTTGTTTTTGGAAAAAGTGTTTTGTTTTTTTCTGGTGTAGGAGCCTGAATAACAAAAATCCTTAGTTTTTTAATTGTTCTCGTTTTTCTTTTAAACCCCTAGTTGTTTAATTATAGGCTTCTACAAAATGGTTGAGATGCAGCTTGGTGGTATAAGTGCCTAAAACCAAGTGATAGAGATGCCGCAATGAGGTGACTCAAAAAAGTGATAAACCAAATTGTTGAGCAAACCATTAAAGGGTTAAAGATGTATGACTAAATCAATTACGATCATAGTATTTAATAAACATTCCAGTGATATGCGCTATTCATCCAGTTATGGGTCCACAGAGAGGACCTTAAGTGAACTGTAGAATAGAGTGTGATCTATTGTCTCTCCATTACGATGCTTTTGTTATGAAACCTCCAAACACGACGGTAACGTCCAATATAAATTGTGTCATCTTCAGCATCTCGTCCAACATGCACAATCTTTATGGAGCAGTTGTGCAGAAGCAGCATACAATCTGTGATTAAATGCATATTTTGGGGCGGAGTTGTCAGTCATTTTATGGGGGGTGGAAGCAAAATGCTGAGGGCGGATTTTAATCTCGAAAACCCCGACATTGCTGTAAAATACTTGTTTTGAGAAATTTCAGCGGTTGTTTCCTTGCTTTCTATTTCACTGCGTTCTTATAATGCCGCCTGACCACATCCTGACCGCCATTGTAGCATTCAGTCACCCAAAATGAACTTAATTTGACAAACCTCACACGTTTTTCTTTTCAATTCTTCTTCATTGCTCATCTGTCAACCAGCTGCTATCCCCCTCTCGTTCACTCCACATGCTGTACGGCCATTAAACTGTCAACAGGGATTTACTCCAAGTGGGAGGAGCCAAAAACTCTATGAAATGATCTGAAGGACAGGGACAATGGAGGCAGGACTATATGGTAAATACTGTGTGATGTGAGTGCGAGAGATTGATAAAAATTCATATAGGAAAATCAAATTGAAAGAGAAAATCTGAAAATGGTAGTGTTATTGCCAAGAGCGCTGTTCTCTGAATGGGAAGCGAGAGAAAAGCTTTTTATATCAACTCTAACAATTCTGCAGTGGACTGATTCAAATTCATGGTTTAATCAGAAGATGGAATAAAGAATGAGATCTTTGACTCCTGAGCTGAGATGTGATGTCAAAAAGATACTGGATCGAAAAGAGAAAATTATATTAATTTCAACTTGTTTTGAGCTCGTACTTTATTGTATTCAAAGCTTGGATGACCGATGGCAAATCAAAATTACACATTTAAATTGCAGATTCCAGGCTGGTTCATTTTATTATTTTTTGAAGGGCAGACCAGGTGGATTTAATTCTGATATACTGACGGTTGGTTGGTAATGCTATGTGCAGGCAGAACATACTGTATTTTGAGATTCCTACATAATGCCTTGATGGATATTGACGAATATTCACAAAATGCTGCACATCAGACAAAGGAATATGCACTCAGGAATCATAGAGATGACCAGCTTACAAAACCAGACAATTATTGACTCCAAGAATAAACAAATGCTCTCTCCCACTCTCGACGAGGGCAAAAGTCCAACACAATCAGGCGCCCAGTGGTGGGGGGCATTGTTTGCTCAGGTGGAGATGGAAGACCAAGACCGGGTCCAGACCAGGACCAGGGGCCAGACCAGTCCCAGACCTGTGACGTCATCGGACCCTTTGATAGAAACTGCTGGGAGGAGATTGGCAGTCAGTCAGCCGAGGGCCAGGAGAGAGGGACATATATAGTTTTAGGAGCACTCTTTGTTGGAATTTCTGTATCTGATTGTAAAGATAAATTAAATACAGATGTTAAAACTTGGAGATCTGTTGTCATGCCTCTGCATCAACTCGAACACGTCAGTCAAGGGAATTATTGACTTCAATATCAATGGGAAAAGACAGATTTTAAAGAGAGGAGAGGATTTCTGTTGTTGTTTATTGCTCACCTCGATCTTTGTCTGGGTATCTTTGAGCATTTATATGTTTACATTATAGACATACTTACTGAATATGCATGTGGATGTTCTTTTCGATTTTTTCTAAATGTAGTTATGACTGGATTGAAACAGAACTGGACCAAAGGAAACGAGTATATGTAAAAATAAAGGATGATTTTTATATTCCAATATATTCAATCATTTACAACACCGGGCCCTAGTTCAGAGGTACATAACTGCTCTGAAGTTAGCCTTTTTAGGCCAAATAATCTCCCAAAACACAAATATGGCAGAAGGATGTAGCTATGATTTGACCCCCATTGCCTAGAATGAGTCTGGTGTGTGTGTGAATGGTTGGTGGTGGTCGGAGGGGCCGATGGCACATACTGGTTGCCTCGCTTCTGTCAGTGTGCCCCAGGGCAGCTGTGGCTACAACAGTAGTTTATCACCACTGTGTATGGAATGAATGAATAATGACATGTGAAGCGTCTTTGAGTGTCCAAAAAAGCACTATATAAAACTGATGCATTATTATTATCATTATTAAATTACAGAGCTATTGATAGAGGTGAATGCTGTACTTCAGACATGTGCAGGACAAGGTGGCAGGTCAACACTCCTTATTTCCAAGTACTCTGAACATAAACAGTGACAGACAGAATGAGGCCAAGGATGTAGATATTGATGGCTCTATCGGCCAGCGGAGCTCAAAAGGCATCATCCGCTCAGTAAGTGTGTAATCTTGACAACCAGTATAATAATGGCTGCCACACATGAGCGGAGCAGCTGCTGGACCTTCACCGCCCCATAATGCATCAGGCTAGTTTACCTAACATGCTTTCTGCCTAAAAAAGATGGGTCAGCAGAGCTCAGGCTGCATGTCAAAGCTGAAGTGCTGAGAGGAAAGGGGCTCTTCTGAACAGGGCCATAGAGTGAAGGATGCTCATTATGTGTGTGCGCTCATTATTTTGGATAAAAGTGTGCACTCATTATTTTGGATAAAAAAGTGAGACATTCGAGTTTGGGCCCAGTATGTGAGGCCTGGATATACACAGTAATTAGGAATCACCTAAATTATTATGTCAAACTAAAGAATATCTCAAACTTCCAGTCAGAAAGCAATTCTAGCCCTAAATATTAAATTTCCATTGCTACAGACAAACGCTGAAAAAATAAAGGTTTAGAGGTCCTTTATTTTGTCCCACAGTGGAGAAATGTCAGTGTTACATCACCGGTTACAGAACAGGAATGAGGAGCATACAACACAAGATAAATGAACAATATTAGATTACCCCTCCTTACCACTCTCTGTAGTAACTGTGTAGTTTATGGAATTATACCCAGTTTGTATTTTTGACAATTGCCAAGGTCCACTGCAGCAGATATCGTAGACCACTGACTTCACACAGATTAGACTCGGTGCCCATGGCAGTGGTGTATTGTTCTGGCTGATATCTGCTGAGACAATACCCTGATAGGAGTAATGAAAGCCTATAATTATTATTCATAGAAAACACAATCTAACAAAGTAGGCATTTCCTATCTCCAGGAGGAGTACTGATGAAACGTGCTGTGCTTTATTGACAGCCCAGGGGAACTCCATTCCCTTCAATGAATATCATTTGGCATTGGGTGCCTTCAATCATTCACAGTATTGATTGGAGACAAAGTCATACAGTGTGAAGTGGTGCAGGGGTACAGTGGTTCCAGTGAATGCTCCTCCTGCCTCTGTACACAGTGGGACATCAGCACTGGTCGGCCCTCTGGGACTGATGACATAGGTAAATGTCAAAGTGAAATAGTGAGAGGACAAAGAAAGATGCTTCTCTATGCGGATTCTTCATTTCTGACAGCAACAAGCTTGATGAAATACATTATGTGACCAATAAACACAGTATAAAAAGAAATCACTTAATCTACATTTGCTAGAAAATTCCTGGTGTTATTAATGTTGCAGCCTGTGCCTTTTGACATTTCCAATCAATTACAGATCGTATCCAGGTGATTTAATTTGATTTTGTGTTGCAGCAGGGCGATTTTGGGATGTGCGACATTAATCACAGAATTATGCACAGTCAAACTCAGGGGAGGCCTGTTGTCACTGTTACAGCCGAATCAATCAAATGAACGCAGAAAATACATACCATCCTTTACCTCTGACGCAGGTACTTACACCAGAGCCCTAACTGTTTACTGTCTACTCTAAAACTGTCTAGATTTATGAAACTAGAGGAGACATTTCAAACTGCAGGAGACACTACAACTTTTTAATGGAACACATAATTTTGATACAAAGACTGAGGTTTTTTTCTCCCGCAGAAAATTCTTCAACTCTAATAATATGAAGAACTTACAACACCAACTTTTGACTAATTAAATTATTCAAAATTCTCTATGCTCTCATTACAGGGTGACATTCTCTTACACAAACACATGAGCAAATGTGGTCTAATGATTCTTTTATAGCAAGAGCTCATCGTCTCCATCCTCACCATCCTCACCAGGCCAAGCACACAAGAGGGGAAGTGTTCTTTAGACCAGTCAGTTCATATCAAAGCCTTTCTCGTCCGTCAGGAGAACCCCGACCTGCGAATCCACTGAGATCTGCTTCCATTCTCACCTCTGAATGACACACTTCATCTACACTGGAAAAAGCCAAATAAATTATTCACTCACACTCTGTCGAACTGTTTCTGAAGCTAGCTCACAAGAAAAGACAAGTCCTTAGCGATATGAATGCATTGAAAGATCCTTGAATTGAGCGCGATAATGCGGAAACAAGTGTGGCATTAATAACCCAGAGTGATTGGTTTTAATTTGAGGATATCGAAAGCGGCTCCTCTTATCAGCGCTGTCATATGTTCTTTGTGATGCCTCTCCAACAACAGGCTCACAGTGGGGAGTGCAGGATTAGAGGAGGATTTCACTGATGTGTCTGGAAGTGCACCACTCAGCAGCTGTCTGGCACGACCCAGGCCGAGGATCTGACTGACTGAAGCTGGGCGGACGAGGCTGCAGCCGCTAATTATCCTACTCAAAAGATCTGAGTGAAAGAAGAGCAGCTAGGACTATATACAGTGGCTTGCAAAATTATTCATACCCTATGAACCTTTACAAACTATACTCTGGAAAGACCTTTATGTAGTGGTAGACAAATGTGAGGTAAAATTAAACATCAAAATGGTACACGTCTTATTTTATAAAAAAAATAAAAAATAAAAAAAAATAAAAAAACTTAAAAGGGACCTAATCTTATTTTGTTCGTATATTGTGGTATTTTTTTGTGTTAAATAAAACTCATTTTGACAGATAGAAACTGCTAAGGGTGAAACTATCAATAATAATCATGCAAAATCATGATATGCAATTGTAAACCATAACGTTGTATACGGACGTTTTAAACAGATATTTGTCATTTAGTGATGGACAATACAAGTCAGGGGCTTTTATTTATGAGCCCTTGTCAGAATCAGAATCATTTTTATTGCCACGTAAGTAACAGGAGGTATACTTGTTACAGCCTCAGTCCTGGGTCTACAGCCTCAGCCCTGGGTCTAAAACCTCAGTCCTGGGTCTACAACCTAAGTCCTGGGTCCAGAGCTTTAGTCCTGGGTCTAGAGCCTCAGTCCTGGGTCTACAGGCTCAGTCCTGGGATACAGCCTCAGTCCTGGGTCTACAGCCTCAGTCCTGGGTCTACAACCTCAGCCCTGGGTCTACAGCCTCAGTCCTGGGTCTACAGCCTCAGTCCTGGGTCTACAGCCTCAGTCCTGGGTCTACAGGCTCAGTCCTGGGATACAGCCTCAGTCCTGGGTCTACAGCCTCAGTCCTGGGTCTAGAGCCTCAGTCCTGGGTCTACAGGCTCAGTCCTGGGATACAGCCTCAGTCCTGGGTCTACAGCCTCAGTCCTGGGTTCAGAGCTTCAGTCCTGGGTCCACAGCCTCAATCCTGGGTCTAAAGCCTCAGCCCTGGGTCTACAGCCTCAGTCCTGGGTCTACAGCCTTAGTCCTGGGTCTACAGCCTCAGTCCTGGGTCTACAGCCTCAGTCCTGGGTCTAGAGCCTCAGTGCTGGGTCTAGAGCCTCAGTCCTGGGTCTACAGCCTCAGCCCTGGGTCTATAGCCTCAGTCCTGGGTCTAGAGCCTCAGTCCTGGGTCTACAGGCTCAGTCCTGGGATACAGCCTCAGTCCTGGGTCTACAGCCTCAGTCCTGGGTCCAGAGCTTCAGTCCTGGGTCCACAGCCTCAATCCTGGGTCTAGAGCCTCAGTCCTGGGTATACAGCCTCAGTCCTGGGTCTACAGCCTCAATCTTGGGTCTAGAGCCTCAGTCCTGGGTCTACAGGCTCAGTCCTGGGATACAGCCTCAGTCCTGGGTCTATAGCCTCAGTCCTGGGTCTAGAGCCTCAGTCCTGGGTCTACAGGCTCAGTCCTGGGATACAGCCTCAGTCCTGGGTCTACAGCCTCAGTCCTGGGTCCAGAGCTTCAGTCCTGGGTCCACAGCCTCAATCCTGGGTCCAGAGCTTTAGTCCTGGGTCTACAGCCTCAGTCCTGGGTCTACAGCCTCAGTCCTGGGTCTAGAGCCTCAGTCCTGGGTCTACAGGCTCAGTCCTGGGATACAGCCTCAGTCCTGGGTCTACAGCCTCAGTCCTGGGTCCAGAGCTTCAGTCCTGGGTCCAGAGCTTCAGTCTGGTCTAGAGCCTCAGTCCTGGGTCTACAGCCTCAGTCCTGGGTCTACAGGCTCACAGCCTCCTACAGCCTCAGTCCTGGGTCTACAGGCTCAGTCCTGGGTCTACAGGCTCAGTCCTGGGATACAGCCTCATGGTGCGTTCAGACCAAACGCGATTTCTGCGGCCAAATCGCGTCTATCGCGCGGCTTGGGCCGCTTGTGACAAATTGTGGCAGCCGCTGTCACAGAGAAACTTGGCCGCGCGGCCAGGACACTAGAGGGCAGCCGCTGTCACAGAGCGTTGAGAGCGTTTACGGGCGGGGCTTGTCTCTTTTGCCTGTAGCTTCCCAAAATGGATGTCAGCGAAGGAGTTGCTTTATCTGATAAATAAAGCCAGACACGTCGTCAAAGGGCGAATCGACGACGTGTCTGGATTCATCAGATAGTCCGTAGACGGTTGGAGTTTGGTGAGTTTCACCATTTGCTCCGGGAGCTGCGCTCGGATGAGGGTCGCTTTCAGCGGTACTTTCGTCTCTCCCTGGCCCAGTTTGACGACCTACTGACCCGCATTGGCGCTAGGATCTCCTACCAGGACACCAACTACAGGCGCTCTATTCCAGCTGAAGAGCGCCTGTCCATCTGTCTGCGGTTAGTGTTTTTTTACCCCATTCAGAATTCATAAATACTTACAAAGTGTGTCATTTTTCAATCACAATCCACAATGTAATTGCTCAGAAAACAGTATTATGCAACAATATGGTGTCTATGATTACTGTCTATGATGTTTACTGTCTACTAGTTTAACGTATTTTATGCTACACAAGTTTTGTCACGTGATTTTTATGAATGTAATTGTGATAAATATGTTCATATCATTTTGTAATTGCAGGTTTCTTGCCACTGGGGACTCCTACAGGACCATTGCGGGGAGCTTCAGAGTGGGCATATCCACCGTCTCCATGCTCATCCCAGATGTGGTGGCAGCCATCTGGGACTGCCTCGTGGAGGAGTTCATGGCTGTGCCTGGAGCAGAGGAGTGGAGGTCCATAGCGCAGGACTTTGAGGTCCGATGGAACTTCCCTCTGTGCTGTGGGGCCATTGATGGGAAGCATGTGGCTGTGAAGGCACCCCCCAACTCTGGGTCCATGTTTTTTAATTACAAGGGGCACCATTCCCTTGTGCTCCTGGCTGTAGTGGATGCCCAGTACAGGTTCAGGGTGATTGATGTGGGAGGGTACGGCAGATCCAGCGATGGAGGCATCGTGTCCAACTCTGCCTTTGGTGAGGCTCTGCGCGAGGGCACACTCGACCTGCCTCCTGACCAGTGCATACCTGGAGCTGACCACAGAGGACCCCAGCCCCATGTGTTCGTGGCAGATGAGGCCTTTTCACTGCGCCGCAATTTAATGCGCCCTGCCCATCTCCAGGATGAGGATGAGGATGGCTGGAGATGGGCAGGTTCCTGCACCGAGGGGAGCTGCTGCCGGTGAAGAACCACTTCCAGGCGTGCAGCGGATGGCCGCCTGGAAGCCAGCAGTGGACATAAGGAAAGTGTTCATGGCCCACTTCAGTGAGGAGGGAGCACTGCCGTGGCAGCTGTGGTGACAGTTTTTGGAGTAATTACATTAAAACCAGCCGCAGCAAATACACGGACGTGGAGGCCTTTTGTCAGTGCGGACGACCTTCTGACGCCATGCTGAGCTTTGTGAAGGTCCCTGCTGTCTGTCACACCCTTGTGTCTTTCCGTCTTGCATCTGTATGACCTGCATTTCCACCATTGTCTGTCTGTTCACACCCCATGCCACTGCCACCACAGGGGATAGCGCCGGCGCTTCCTGTGCGCCTCCTCACCGGTGGCCCCCTCCGCTTCGTTGTGGGCGTGACTATCTTTGGTGTGTGTCTTGTATACAGGAAGCTCGGGGCTCTGGCCCCCAGAGCTGGGACATGCTGCTTTTGGAGTGTATGTGCTGGCTCTCCGCACTGTGCGTTAACAATAAACTTACGCTTTTGATCAGACAAAGGACCTTTGAGTTTTCTCCTTCATGGGGTATATAATTCTATAACAATTTGGCGTTGCTGACATGTCTTGGCATGGATACTTTCGGCGGGGACGAGCGGCTTTGTTTGGCCGACCTGGATCACCAGCCTCTGTTCCTTTTTGGAGACAAAGGAGGGCGGCGCTCGTCCCGCGCACGGAAGGAATCCTTTTGCCACACAAGACCAAAAAGAACCTAATCTGGTGAGTCTTGTCTTTTCATCTGCGTAACGAGCCCAGGGCAGCACTTAAGTGTACACGGGGATTTGTTTATTTATGTATTTTTGGGGTATTTCATTCATTGCCACAGCATAGTCTGTGTGCGGGATTTTTTGGGGGCTTTTTGTTCTAGATTGAAACTAGCGGCTGCGCGTTAGTATCGCATTGTAAGCGACCCTGGAATCTCCGAGTGTCTTCAGCCAGAACCGCTCCGTTTTCAAGAACGCGCGCTCGCTGGTTGAACCAGCGGGGGGGGGGGAACGGAGCGCCCCAAAGTGGGTAGGAGCAGGGAGAGACTAAGCGGGTTAGGCCCATTGTTCGTACGAGAAAATGGGTAAAATCAATCTACAGATGCAAGCTGTGAAGTGCTTGCCTATGGTGCAGGTCATCTGCGTGATAATTTAGAAGAAGAAGGGAAGAAAAAAAAATATATATATATACTTGGTTTTAAGAATATCACGGCAAAAGAGGTTAGAGAAAGAAATATGTAAAAACAATAGCTCCTCCGCTCTTCACCGAAGCGGAGAACACACAGGCGCACACACACACACATCCCCCCACACCCCCACCCTACCGCCCTTTTTCCCCTACTAACAAGAAGTGTGCACCCAAACAAGGCGTTGGGTTTTCAAAAAAAATGAGCAGACTACTGTTGTCCCTTTTTTCTCTCCCTGTCCAGGTCTGTCGGCGCTTTTCCTCCGCGCTCTGTCCTCTGCCTCAAAGCACCAGCCCCACGCCCCAACCACAGGCGGCGCTCGCACCAGCTGAGACCCCGCGAGAAGTGGGCCCAAACCGCAGAAGAAGAAGAGGCGGAAACAGACACACGCTCAGGAAACCACAGAAGAAGAAGCGAGGGAAACAAATATGTGAGACACCGACAACTGCTTTGGAGCACAGAGAGAAACTGCTCCAAATCCCGTGACTGTTCTCCACGGAGGGGGCAGCGTGATATACCAAACGCACCCGCGGAAACCCGCTTGAAAGTTGTTCCCGCACCGCAAACAGAAGAAGCCATTGTGACCGGCACGTTTGGGTTATTCACCAACCCTCATGGACCACATGCTAACGCTTTGGGCTACCTGGGCCTCCTGCGGACTTTGAAAAACTTCCACAGCCCGGCGGAAAGACTGTGTGCTCGACATGGGTCGAAGGACTGTT